AAGATCAAAGTCCAAAGCCAAAAGGTCCTCAAGATTATTTCCAAAATAACAAGCAAAAAGCCAGGCTACAAGCATGGCTCAGGTAGTAAAGCTCCAGAGCAAGCAAGCTGAGCAAACCTAAGGCCTTGATTCAAATACCAGTATTAAGGGAGAAAAAAAAAAGCCTTAAAGCAAGCAAAATGGATGACATTTTTTTACCTTTCACTTAGGAATGACTTTGATATAAGAAATTATCACAATATTTCAAAGTCTAGCTCAATGTTCAGGATTCAGTTAATTTGCAACTTAATAATGGATATATTCCAAAAAACACACAAAAAAAGTGTATTTTGGATGAATTTAACTGTGGATGACAGTAGAGGTAAAATCTTATTTCAAAGTTATTTTAATAATTTTGAAAATTATGGAAAATTTATCAAGTCTAGTAAGTGTTGGTTTATCTAATTGGCTGATCAAAAGCTAGTGCTAGAGGTAGATGTCAGCTCTGTCATTTTCTTATTGTTCACTTATGCTTATATTACTGATATTATTGTTACAGCATCTTAGAGAAGCCTAAATCACATCCATGTTGTAAGGGTTAATTTTTTTTAATAAATAGTATTTGTACATTAATTTAACTAGGCACTCAACTGCTAAAAACAAACAAGAAAATCACTGGCAGTCCGGTTTCCCTCAGCATATTGTAGGTGTTCTCTTTAGCAAACATACTACATTAATCCAATTATTAAATATTAGTAAAATTGTATTTCTTGCTTTTCATATGCATAAATGAAATTAGTGGTTTTCATATGATCTTTTCTTGCTCCAGGGGGACTTAGGGTATAGTGTTTAGGGGCTTATGATTCAAATCTACCTAAAACTCCTACTTAGGGCAACTCAACCACTTTCAAGTACTTTCCAGAGTAGGACTAATTTTCCATGGTCACTCTAGGTTACATAAGATTCTTAGGTTCTTAATATCTGGGCCCAAAAGCAGACCTGAAGGGATGGATGGGTGGACAATTATAATTTTACCACCGTACTCACTAATGTACTTTTTACAAAGATAATGAAGAACAGTTATAGTTTCCTATCTCTGCAAAATTTCCCATTTAAAAATATCTGTAAATACCAGGTATTTCACTGACATAATCACTTAAAGTGTTATATTAAATATAATACACTGTACTTGCATTTGCAGAAGTGCCTTTAAAAAAAAAAGTGTGGTTTGTGCCCCATCGGGTGGCCAAACTGGAAATTTCAAACAAGTTTCAGCAAGGCAAGTTAACCCTAGCTAATCAACATAATACCTCTGAGAAATTGAAGCCTGAAACATAGTGTTCTCATGGGAGAGTCCTATAAATGAAAATCATAATAATGTTGTGGCAATGTTTCCGTAAAAATAAGGGTTTATACAGCATTTCTCCTTTCCCAATACTTGCAACAACAACAAAAAATTAATCTATGACCATCACTTTTTATCTATTCAGGTTAAATAAAGACGTTTTATAGCCAGGAGAATAGATACCAAACAAGTGGCTTAGCTTCTTGTACCTTAGTTTCCTTGCCTAGAAAACTAAGGAGATAATCTTTTAATTCTCTTTCCACTCTAAAATTCTATAACCCAAAAATCTCATGTTAGTATCATACAAAACTGCAATATACATTTTTAAAAATTCCTGGTTTCTGAGAAATCAGAGAAACAAAGGGCTCTGATAAAAGAAGCAGCACACATATACACACACCACGTGTGCATGTGCATGTATGTATGCACGCGTGTGCGCGCGCGCGCGCGCGCACACACACACACACACACACACACACACACACACACACAAAAATCAGCAGCCTAAGGCACCGAATATATTTGCTTTCTTTGGCTAGTTTTCTGTGAAATATTAACATGACTGTACCTGAATATTTGGATGAAACTTGTCTAAGTCAATTTTGATTGATCTATTATAGAGCTCTAAAATACACAGTAACTGATTCCAAATTATTGATGTCCTATTTTCTATGCTGAGATTTACTCTCAAATAGATTATTGGAAACAGGGATAGTCTACTCACTTGTGTTAATTCTTTGTAAAGCCTATTCACAAAACCATCTTTATATGGTCTCTTAAGGCTGACCTATTCTTTGCTGCATTTATGCTTTATGAAGAGTAAATCCATGAACTCTACAATTTATTATTAAGTTAAAACTAATAATATTCAGGATATTGGGATACTATTATTTACAAATTTTAACAATCCAAGGGATAAAAATCATTAAAAGTTAAACCAAAAACTTATAAGCCAGAATGACCACTGAAAAGCTTTGGCCCTATATTCATTTTTTATGGAGAAAGAGCTCTGGAAGACAAAAATATTGTCTCCAAGGTATCATGGCTAACATAAACAAGAACACTTATCATGTTACCATGTATAAATAATAATATATAGTTAAATCAGATAAAATTATATAGTGTAAACAAAAGTTTCAGCTTCAACCTAAAGCTCTGTGTAATGCAAGTAATAGTGCATACAGTAAAATGACAAAAAAAAAAAGAAGCTGAACAGTTCATTCTGCACAATATTAGAAAATAGCCGAGGCTACAAACCAAGAGTAATATACCAAAATTCCATTACTAATGCTTGAAAAACAAATCCAAGTGTCTACTAAACTGTTTTAGGAGCATCATCTTCATATATGTGAAAGTAAATATCAATGCATTGTCAGAAGATTCTTTTCCCTAGCCAAGGCTAACATTTCTACAAATGTCCTTTTTCCCTGAAGTTTTTAAGCAGCTAACTTCCCAGGACCCCAAATGCTTTTACTCAAACCTCTTAATTATTTTTAAAGGAGTAACCAACTCTTTAGAAATAATACACAGAACAAAGACTTCAACCCTTAACAAACATCTTTAATGGCTCCATCTTACAAAAAGAAATACTCCTTGTTTTTAATTTTGCCTATAAATAAGTTTGTCCAGAGCAGAAGACACAAAATAGAGACTCTCTGCAGAATCAAATTTCAATTATCTACAATATGAATTTTTAAAAGTAATTTATAATTGGCCCGAGAAAGACAATGCAGTTACACATAAGCTCAGGAATTCTGTCCCTCTGTGAACAACCTACAGTAATCATTTAGGAATAGAATCTAAATGGACTATGTGATTGAGGAGTCCCAGTGGTTACTCTGGCCACAAAACTGACATTACAAATCAAGAGTTAATTGCATTTTCAAACTAAATCTTATGCTTTCCTTTCAGCCCTAGATATTTCAAATTAATTCTATGAAATCGTCAAGTGTTGAAATACTTAAAATGAATCATAGCATGTAACCAGCCACTATTACTTCTGCCCAAATCAAGAATCTCATGCTATATAACAAGAATAAGATGTGCTTCAGCATGCTGTCCTTCTATTCCTCCATTAAGAACTGGCAGTGGTGCTGAAAACTGCTACTAGAAAAAAAATTTTTTAAATACCCTTCTTTCAATAAAACACATCATCTGGACCCGAGCCAAGGTTTTAAAATTGACCAAATGTTATTAGAAGCAATAAATCAATGACTCTACAAGCTAGAATGTTAGAACCTTTTCTTACAAAATGGGGCCACAAAACACTAGAAGAAAATTAAGTGACAACAATTAAATCTAGGCCATTCATTTCTGCTAATGATTAAATACTGTATCTTATTAAGTATATTTGTCTGACAATCTCAAGATTGTTTTCCCTACTCACATCTTTATCCCTCAATTATTAAATCAACTACATGTATAAATGAACTCACTGTTTTTTCCTAAACATCCTATCACTAAACTTAGAAATAAGAGAATTAATATAGTTTAATTCCTAAAAATCTAACTAGTGTGTGTGTGCACTCATATTGATTGTATACTCTTTGTTACTGCACAGAAGGTAGACATGAATTCCTGGAGGTTACAGTCTTTCTCTATCCAGAAGCTGAATTGCTGCTAGCTATTGAGAAGAGCCTATTGCAATGCTTAAAGACCTTCAAGTATCTTACTTTCCAAATACATAAATGGTGCATTATCTTTACCCTGAATTGATGTAAGGATCCTTATCACTAGAAAATATCCTCCAGGAGCTGTTGCTACAGAAACTGGAATGGAAGAGAGAGCATGATTTCTGTAATACACAGGTAAGGTAGTACCGTGTTTACAATGTAGTGATTTCTCTCCCTCGCTAACAAAAACTTAGGAGAAAAAAAACCCTGAAATTTCAAGTAATTCTCTTGTCTTCTTCCTCTTCTTTGATTCAAAAAACTGGAGAGCCTAACCCAAAGATTTGTTTACTCTGTATACCTCATGTAATCAGTTTAAAAAAAAAAAAGTCACCGTCTAATCTAACCAGAATCGTTGATTACAAGACATTTGCAAACTAGAACCTGGGCATCAGTGATAAGACATTTAAGTCAAGTTTCAAATTCTGTTACAGTCTTTGTCAACAGTGGACAAGTGAGGCAAAGCCGAAGGGTTGGATGGAAAGAGAAAAAAAAAAAAAAATCACCGGGGAGACTTAGCTCAGAAGAGCAGGCACCCCAGACGAGAGGTGAGCAGAGAGAAACAAGACCTAACCTTGGCGAGGGGGCGCTCGCCCGGGGTGGGGAAGAGGTTAGGGTGAGCTGCGAGGATTAACCGGGAGCTGCCGCGACCCTAGGCTGCACCCGACTCCCAAGCCTGCGGCCCCGACCTCCACGCCAGAACCCCGGTCCGGTCCGGGCCGGGCCGGTCCGGGCCCCGGCCCCGGCCCCGGCGGTGCCCTTCCTCCGCCGCCGCCCGCATATCCGTTACCCCGGCGGCAGCGGGCTGCGGGGGAGGGGAAGGACGGCCCGGCCGGTGGGGGCCGGCCGCGGCCGCGGGGATGCCGCAGCGGCTCCCCGGGGACGGGGGGGACAAAGTCCGCCCGGCCGCCGAAGGCAGCGGGAAGGGAAGGCGGCGGAGGTCGGGACCGGTGGGAGGGTAGAGCCCCGGCGAGCGAGTCGCCCCGCGCCCCGGCCGCCGCCGGTACCTCATACTGGATGTATTGCTTCCTCCACTCGGGAGTGATGTGCGCGGAGAGGTGCTCGGCGAACTTCATCCTGCCGGGTCCCCCTCACTCCCACCCGAGTCCAGCAGCTACAGGCGGCGGCGGCGGCGGCAACAGCGACTCCGACTCCTCCCCACATGGGCCCCGGCGCGGCGCGGCGCTGCGCTTCTCTCCTCCTCCGCCGCCGCCGAGGTCTCCTCAGAGTCGCCCTCCCGCCATCTTCCTCCTCCTCTCCACAGCTCCGCCCCGCGCCCGCCCCTAGACGTCATCACCATGGTAACCGCCTACGCCGCACCGGCGAGGGGGCAGGGTGGAGGGCGGGGCTTGGGTGCAGGTCTTGATTCTCCGCCCCCCTCGGGGCCGGACGTGCTGGAAGCGCCTCCCCTGACCTCTTGCGTCTGACTCCTGGTCGGCCTCCAGCTGCTCTCCACCGCCGGCCTGGGGAAGCTGCGGAGTTGTTATTGTAATTAATACTGTAGCAGTAGTAGTCCACACAAGACGCTTCTATTTTGCAGAGAACTGTGCAAAAAGTGTTTCCCGTTAATACGTAGTCTTCGTAAAATCTGTGAGAATGGATCCGCGTTCATCCGACTTGAGTAGTTAAGATCGTTGAGAGCCACATATATTTAAAGGAACTGTATTTCACACGCTCTAGTTTCTCGATAAATGCTTGTTAAACTTAATTTAAAAAGTCAGTGCCAAAAGGTGCATGCTGTTTCTGAATTTCAAGGTAATAATCGGCTCTTAGGACTACCGGAAAGGCCAGTAACTTCAATCAAAACCAAGACTGACAATACCAACTGAGCTCTGTGAGAGGACGGGGGACCACGCTGAGAGGAAAAAGTAATGTAGTAATGCCTTGACTCCCAGTGAAACCAGAAATGGTCCCAGCATCCACCCAGGCTGAACTATTCCTGGAGAACATGAAGAGATCACTCACACTATACCGTGTGGGCGTTGGGGACTGACCTAGAGAACATTATTTGAGACAGAATCCCAGGTACCGCCCTGGGTGGAGGAGCCCTGGATAATATAATAGCTGACATTTATTGAGCACTTGCTGTCCCTGTACCACGCAGTGTTCTAGACTCCTTTATTCACTAAGCAAGTATGGTGCTTGGGACAGTATCAATCTTTGCTGTTGTCTCCTCTTCCTCCCCCACCCTTCCATGTATTTGCCCCCCCACACACACACCCTCATCCTTCTACCTTAAACTCATTCCAGTAGGGATTCTGCATTTGTTTTCTCAGAAGAGAGATGAGGCAGGATAGAAAATAGGTCTAAGTCTTTCTGTTTTTGTTGTTCAAAGCCTCGAGCTCTTCTGGAAGGGTAATCATAATCAAAGAAAAGAAAAAAGGAGGAGGAAGACAGGACTTGTACCTCTCTGCTTACCATAAAATTTCCCTTCTTCTGGAGGTATATAATTGCCAGGAGAAAGACACAGCAAAACAGAGGGGCTACACTTGGTAGCAACCCTAGTAGACCAATGGTACAGTGCTCTCACAGCACAATCCTCCATGCTTTAATTGTGTACAAGATTCTGGAATTATGGCCCAGACCAGAGAAAAAGGAAATCCTCAATATTAGCCCTCAGACCAATAATTCTTAGTGTTTTTCTTGCCAGATCCACATACATTGATTTAATAAAAAATTTCCTTATTCCCAGCAATCTTTCAGGTATTTCACTGACATCATGGTATTTATTGAACACCTTCTCTCTGAAGAACATCATGACAGTTACTATAAAGGATTATCTGAATATTTTTGCTCTGAACCAGAGGGGACTCCTGCTCAGACTTCCTTTTGTGAATAGGCAAATAAATCTTCATTTAACAAAACACTATTGAGCTCTATAATATTCCAGTCATGCCACTTGGAAATGAAGGATAGTGCAAAAATATACAAAATTGCTTTTTCTTGGAGGAAATCACAGTTTAGTCAAAATGATGAACAGATAGGCCAATAGCTAGACTACAGTGTGGTACATATTGTAATTAAGGTTTGTATAAGAAAACAATCACCCAGCTGACCAGAAAGTAAAGGATGTTGTCACAGAGAAGGTGACTTTGAAATCTAGTCTTAGCAAAAAAAGAAAGATGTCAGGATTGTTATAGAAAGACATTATCTGAAGAGAATATTCTTTCTACACAGCAACATGTCTACTGCTCAGTAAAACTCTCTCTTAATCACCTTACTCACCTCAATGTAGATATTAATCATTTGTATTAGACTATCAGTTTCTAGAAAACAACTTGCTCATTCTCTAATGTTCTAACCTTAGCACAGAACCTGGAATTCACACATTCATTATGTGTTGAACAAAGGAAAGAAAAGAGGGAAAGACAGGAGGAAAGGGCAGGCCACAAGAAGAGATGTCAGAAAATGAAACTAAGATGGAAAGTCTTGATCATAACAACATAGAGTCTTTGAAGAAGTGTAAGTGATAAGTGACTAACTCGGGTGAGAAAACAGTACATATAGTGTAGCTTTCAACTTTTGAACATTCCAGAAATAGACAGACCTGAATTAAACATCAACTCTGGCATTTACAAGCTGTGTGACCTTGGTCAAAGTACATTAGCTCTTAAGGGCTCATTTCTTTAACTCTCAAATAGGAAATAAAACATCTCCCTCCCTCACAGATTATTTTAAGAGTGAAGAAGACTCTACTTATAAATTATTTAGCATGATATCTGGTCCCTGGTTTATCACTCAATAACTGACAGCCCCTCAGAATCCTCTGTCAAAGTGTGAAGAATGGGCTGGAGCAGAAACAAACCCAAGAGTAATTTATCAACAAACAATTACTATGTGCTTGTAGTAGTTTAAGAGTTTTGCAAATGTGAATTTATTTAATCCTCACAAGACCAGGTGATATCTTCATTTAGAGCTGAGTAAACTCAGAAACAGAGGGTAAGCATCTTGCACAAGAACACCCACCTAATAAGTGGCGGACCTAGATTTGAATTCAGCAATCTACCTGAGTCCTTGCTCTGAGCACTACATTATGTGACAGTTGATACAACAACTCAAGCCAGTCATGGGAACAACAGAAGAAGAGGAGACATGACTGATGACTGAGTAATGGCACCACCATAAAATAAGGGGGTAAAAATGAAATAAGGAATCCAAGTAGAGAGCAGATTTGGGCATTGTTGGATATTTGGGGATTTTTGGGGACATGCAGTATCAAGTAAAATATACAAATCCAGAGTTCTAGACAGAGAGATTAAAACTAAAGACTAGAGATCTACTCACGCTGAAGTGGTAATTAAGTCTGGTAAATGTGCTGAGGGAGAGAACATATTGTCAAACAGAAAGGAGGCCAAGGAAACATGCAGGTGTGAGCCTAATGAAGAGGATGGGTCAAGGAAGGCTGAGATGTGGTCAGAGGAGTAATGTCAAGGAAACCATAAAAAGATGTACATTTTCTGGCGTGGGGGGATATGGTGAGGGGAAACAAAAGAGAAGGGAACAATGCTTGATAAGAAATGTACTCATTACTTTGTTCAAGTACAGTATTGTCACAATAAAAAAGTCTTATTAATAAAAAAGATGTACATTTTTGGGGGGTCCAGTCGTGGGGCCTGAACTCTGGGCCTGGGCGCTGTCCCTCACCTCTTCAGCTCAAGACTAGCGCTCTACCACCTTGAGCCACAGCACCACTTCCGGCTTTTTTTCTTTTTGCTTATGTGGTGCTGGAGATTCAAACCCAGGGCCTCATGCATGCAAGGTAAGCGCTCTACCACTGAGCCATCTTCCCAGCTCCTCCCCCCCCCAAAAAAGATGTACATTTTATAAAGGAGGCAGCAGTCAATAAGTCAAATGTCATAGGGAAGTTAAGCAGAGTTACTTAAAAACCACTGGGTTTAGTGAGTAGGGATTCATTTATAATCTCAGGAAGAATGACTTCCAGAGCATGATGGATTGTACAAGTCTGAGCAGTGATCAACATTTTGTTTTTGTAGATCCTAAATTGTATTTTTTCTGGCTACATGTTGTACAATGACCAGGAGTGAGAGTTTAATATTATACTCAGCAATCTATCTAGAAATTCATAAGTGCTGTCTCTAAAAGCTTTATATTTATCACACATAATTCTAAGTTTTAAAACAGTTATACTTACCACAAAGTACTGTTTTAAAGCTTAGAATTATGTGTGATAAATATAAAGTCCAACTGTTGCTTAAAAAAACATAACTAATGATCATGTAGAAAGGTGAAAAACTGACCTTCAGAGAAATCAAGTATTAAGGTAACCCTGTTGAAGCTGAATAAGCAATGGTGGGGGTGGCACAGGAGGAAAAAAATCATGTTCAAAGTTCAGCTAAGACTCACACTTGTGTGGGACCCAATCCAACTTTAAAATATGATGGACTTATGGGCCCAGTAGGCATTCAATACATCTTCAGATGGTCCATGACTCCCTTAAAATTACATGTAAAACTTTGCATGTTTGAGGGCATGGATCAAGTGATAGAGCTTAGCAAGTACATGGCTCGGACTTCAAACCCCATACAACCACCAAAAAGAAGAAGGAGGGAGAGGAGGATAAAGAGAAGGTGAAGGAGGAGAAGGAGGAGGAGGAGGGGGAGGGGGAATGAGAAGGGGAGGGGGAAAAACTTTTCATGTTATTTGAGAACAAAAGCACCAGGACACTTTCTCCACTTAAAAAAAAAAAAAAAAAAAGGAGGGGTTGGGAAAGTGGCTCAGTGGTATAGTGCTTGCCTTGGATGCATGAGGCCCTGGGTTCAATGCCTCAGCACCAAAATAAACAGAAAAAGCCTGAAGTGGTGCTGTGGCTCAAGTGGTAGAGTGCTAGCCTTGAGCTGACGAGCTGAGGGACAGTGCCTAGGCCCAGAGTTCAAGCCCAAAAAAAAAAAAGGAAAGAAAAAGTAATTTATAATAAAGTTTCAAACTATTCAATTGTATGATTCTAGAAATACTTTCATTTTGACACCGTTTAGATTAAGTATATTTTTATTATATAAAAAGTATACTATTTTGTTGTTATTATAATGATGATATACAGGCGGTATAGTTACATAACTCAAGTTAAAAGCATATTTCTTTTTGGACAATGTTTGACTATTTTTAAGGAATAAAGATATTGAAAGAGCATTAGTGGGCTGGAGATGTGGTGGATGTACAGTGTCTGTTTGGCATACACAAAACCAAGTGCTGGTGGGTTCAATCCCCATTACTAAAAAAAAAAAAGGAAAA